TTAAATTAATTCTTAGAAACAATGAATTTGAGTTTAATGGACTGTTATACAAACACATTATAGGAGCGCCCATGGGTGGTATATTTTCACCAACATGCACAGATCTGCCCTATTCATTAAAATCTTAGATAAGTTCCAATGGAGAGAAAACATCAAATTACACTGTCAATAGGATTCCAATATGGATGACGGTATTATGGTCTTCACAGGCAAATTAGAGCAAGTTGAAGATTTCTTTAACCTAGCAAACGAAATTGACCATCTACTTTAGTTCTAATATGCGGTGTCGACATCTAGTGCTATTTAAAGGGTGGTAAAGGGTTATTTCCGTGCAACGTTTTCGGTTTTTATTTCACGTGATTTGGTGTTTCGACGTTTTATTTCTCGTTTTCTCGTGTTTTGTTCGACGTGCGTGCTTCGTGTTTTCCCTTAATTATTTTCCGTGTTTCGTGTCGGTACTCTTATTTTCTCGTGCTTGTCCCGCATTTGATTAAAAATTAAACCGGGACTAATTCAAAGTCAGCCCAGATATTGTTTTAAATTATAAACTAATTAACTGGTCCCAAGATATTTATTAATAGCCTATTGTATTACTATAATAATCGTATGCAACTAGAGGACGCTAAAAAGTGACCACATGCAGGGTCGCCATGTCAATTTATAATGACTGCATGATCTCCAAGAACGGCTGAGTAATAACTTTTGGTACTTTTTTCCTAAATATTACGATTTTATTTCTTGGCTTCGTTTTTCCAGAGTGTTTTTTCCGTGCAACGTATTTGCGATTTGTTATTTCACGTGTTTCCGTGTTCAGACCCCCCCCCCCCCCCCCCCCCCCTTTTTTTTTACCACCCTCTAATCAGATACCGAAATCTACAAAGGTGATCGATTCCATAATAATGGAATTCTTGATGTTAAATCACGTATATTAAAAACACAGAAACGTATCAATATTTACCAATCACTAGTGCACATCCAAAACACACATAAATTTTAGAGTATTAATTTACAGTGTGTGAATAATGTAAGAAATAATAGTGACATCAATGAATTAAATAAACATTTAATTAGCTTACAAGATAACTTAAATGATAGAGAATACTGTAAAAAGGAAACAGTAAAAGTTGTTAAAAATGTATATTAACGAATAGTCTTTTAATATTTTACTTGTTTTATTTTCATTTGAAACAGATTTTTTTATCTGATTTGTCAAAATGACAAGTATGCATAATGATTTTATTGTTACAAATCAAATCCCAAAGCCCACTATAACTCATTATGTAGAAGCCACAGCGCTATTTTAAAATATATCTCTTTGAATATCTAGACACAGATGTTTGATACCATATGCATTGGTCGTTATAAATAAATCTTGACTATTTATCTTTCACTTTTTTATCAAAGGGTACAACTGTCAACTTTGCTCAAGTCAGTAAAGTTTTGTTAACCCTTGCAATGCATAAAATGTAGCTTTACAATAAATATACATGTTTAAAAAGGATCTATAGATTGTTTATTATCATATATCAGATAAGTGAATTAGCGATCTGTGAAAATTCTTTATTGTCATGTTTTAAATATTTTAGATACCCCGTATGGAGGTGCTCTTAATTGCAGGAAGCTAATACAGATAAGATGAATAGGTGTTCCGAATGAACAATAATATAGCTTCCGAATATTCCTCCATAGACTATATTTCTAACTAATTTATATGCGTGAATCCTCAGGGGTTCACGCAATAAGAAGATGTTGTATGATTGCCAATGAGACAACTCTCCACAAGAGACCAAATGACACAGAAATTAACAACTATTTTTTTTTTTAATTTTTGAGCAAACTAGCGTCAATGTCTCTTAAAAAAGCGTGTGATGCTGAAGGTAAATTTCAAAATGCGAATATTGAGGAAAAATGATAATATTATTATTAACAATATCTTGTAAAATGTACAGTGTATGTTAATGCATCCCAATACGGGGCCTCAGTAGAATACCCCCTTAGGTCGTGTTAAATAAATGCATCAGTATACCTCACTTTTAAGCAATTTAAGATTTATTTTTTTTAAGTCGTAGGTTGTTTTAAATAAGACACAGAGTCGCCCACTTAATCCCTAAAGTGGCGGGTCGGATTTGGCAATATTGGAGCCACACAATATCCAATATACAGAATAGATTCTGTATTAAATAAAGCAAATCATATTCTGACCCCGCATAATTTGTTGAAAATAGTTTGATGAGAGAATCTGTATAAATAATTCCATGTATTATTAACGTAATTCGAATTCTGCATATATATACGCAATTAGAATTCTGTACAGTCTGTACTTGCGTATGCAAAGAATTGTTACGTCATAATTCCGTATATACGGAATTCGAAGTCTATCCATACGGAAATACTTCTGTATATCCGTTTTTGAAATCTGTAAATACATATAAACGATTTCTGTAAATACGAAAAAGCACAAAAATACATAATTGAATGATATACCTCTATACACAAATTTTAATAACGTAAATACAGATTTCGAATTATATAAAAGTTATTCGAGCTACCTATATATACGGAATTATTTCTGTACATATGTAATAACATATACGTTATAATACAGACAGACATATTTTGTTTTACCCTGATACCGCGCAACAATTATTTTCTAAGTGTCGGATAATTGGGCTGTCGGAGCAATGGGTTGTCGGATTATTGGGCTGTCGGAGCAATGGGTTGTCGGATTATTGGGCTGTCGGATTATTGGGCTGTCGGACTAATGGGTTGTCGGACAAATGGGCTGTCGGAACAATGTGCCGTCGGACTAATGAGCTGTCGGAATAATGGCGTGTAACACTGTAGTATATATTATTTAACTAATGAGGGTGTGCTCGATTATAAGTCATATTTGAAACAAAATATGATCGATATTTCAAACCATTCTATTAGATCAAATAAGATTAAACAAGAAAACAGTGTTTCATGTTTCATGCATTACCCAACATTTTTTTCTTTCCCTTTGCTCATAACAACGAAAAAGTGTTATGTTAAGTCTTAAATTGCAATACAAGCAAACTGAAAATATTTTTCATTCTTCCCTATCATCAGAAAGGAGGGAAACAGTTTTAGAATAAAACCCGCGTGATTAAAAACATTTCTAGATTACGTTTTGTAAGTCTTAACTTTAAGTTGGAAAACTACTTTTTGATTTCGTTAAAACATTTCAAGATTAACGCCGTCATTTCCACTGCCGATATAACTGTTATATTTGCCACTGGACATATACCAACAGTAAAGGAATTCGATTATGTTACGCGTTTCTGTTGAAAAATTAAATAAAAATCCCACCCAATATTTAACTCAAGCCTTATTTAAATGTTATCCATACCCCTGCAAATTCTATTTATTAGTACTATATTCAAATTATAACAACGAACAATCAAATAATATACCGAAAACGCCATTTTGACCATTTCAGTTTCTTGGACTATTTATTCTATTTAACCACAATATTATCGTAGAAATTATCCTAGTAATATTTATTATAAAATGGAACAAACGATTTTTGCTGTACAAAATCAAAATACAACACTTTAAATTTCAAGCAAATGATATCTTAAACGATAAAATTAAAATAAAATCTGTAAGTGATATAAAAATAAGAAAATGTGGTATGAATGACACAGAAATTAACAACGATAGGTCACCGTACGGCCTTCAACAATGAGCAAAGCCCATACCGCATAGTCAGCTATAAAAGACCCCCGAAATATTAAATGTAAAACAATTCAAACGAGAAAACTAACAGCCTGATTTATGTACAAAATAATGAACGAAAACAGATATGATATACGGCAACAAACGACAACCACTGAATTACAGACTTCTGACTTGAGACAGGCACATACAGAATGTGGCAGGGTTAAACATGTTAGCGGGCGCCCAACTCTCCCCCTAACTTTGGACAGTGGTGTAACAGTACAACATATGAACAAACTATAAAAATCAGTTGAAAAGGGCTTAACTCATCAGATAGATACTAAGCACAAAAACAAGTATAACAAAAACACAGAGTGGACGTTGCAGGGTACTTATACATCCCCACAACAAAAAGACATTAAGTACAGATCTGAGAGTACTCGCAGTAACTGACAGCTAGTTCAAAGCCAATAACAACTAATAAAAAAAATCATGCATCTAAGACTAATTTTCCTTAATGAATAATGTTTATGTGTACAAAAGAATTCAACTGAGTTAACACATTTGATATTTTGTAGATGCACAGAAGAGGAATGGCACTCTACCGACTTGGAAACTATCCGTGACAAAAGTTCAGCCACGATGTGCATCGGAAAACAAAATATGGATAATGTTGCGGAATTTTAGTGAAAACGATACTATATGTTATACAATGGAATTACGACTCGCAAATAAAAGCTGTTTATTAATAATGAGATATTTGGTGTTCATTGTATTACTACGATCCCTATTTAAAAAAAAACTCAAGTATCAGTCGTTTTAGTAAGTTTTCATTTTCATTCAATATCGCGTTTCGTCCTTTAGGAATATTTCCCTGGGTGAACACTTTTTAAGATAGTGCCCATGGAAATATCCAAAGGGCAAAACGTCCGGATGAATGAAGATGAACAAAAGAAAATAACTCTCCATTCCTGAAAAATAATGGAGAGTTTGAACAAAAGATTTACGTCACAGGTGTATTTTGATAATTATTCCAGTACGACTCCCTCTAGCAGCGTTACACTTCTCGACCCGAAATAAGGAGTTTTAATTAAATTATCGAACATTTAAATTTTGACATGATCATGTTTCGATATCTCTATCAAGCAAATGTTTTAAAAAATTCATAATTTGAAAAGAAAAGAAATAACAGTTTTTTGTTGCGTTTCCTTTAATTTTGGGAGATAATAGTTTATTGATTGATGGTTTATACTGAAGTCATTTTGTTAAGTGCATATAATTTTTAGTCCTTTTAAAATAACATTGATGAAAAATGCTACCTTAGATGATCTATCCATGGGATCCATTCCTTTTTGTTCTATCAGCCATTTTGTTAACTCAATGTTTCCACTCCAAGCTGCCGAATGTAATGCTGTTTTCCCGTCCTGTAATGATGATTAAAGTATTATGTCTTGGTGTTTGATGCTAGTTAATTAAATCAGTGTTTAGTTACAGTGTATGATTAACACTGTCGTGTAATGATAATTAATTATTATGTTGTAGTGTTTGATAGTAGTTAGATAATTCAGTGTTTGCGTCAGTGTTATGTGATTACTTCATGTCCTTTCTGTAGTATTCATTACTTCTGTAAAAAAACATATACAAACATTCTAACCACGTGTATACAGCAACCCAATGACACACATACTACAATACATGTACAGGTCTTCACTTATTCCTTCTGGGGTTTTATTTCTTATTAGGTGAATGAGAAAAAAAAAGAAAAAAACACATGAAGCTTGAAGACAGGTTCATGTTGCAGAAAAAGGTTCAACCATATCGAGTGCACCGCAGTCGACTTTATTTCAAATACCAGCACACTATAAAATATGATGAATGAGCACAAATGAAGAGATCACAAGCGTGCAATCAATTCAAATTCTGTTGTTGTTCATCTGTGTTTCATTATCTTATATTATTTCAATGAATTTTAAAAGAATTAACTATGATCCAAATGTTATATATTTTATTTGTGAAAATGAATTAATATAGTTATAATATCTAAATTCATCGCCATGAAATGTCTGGAGATCAAGAAATCGATCAGACCTATTCACCTACTATACACGAAAAAAAATATTCACAATTTTTCCGTGTGACGCAGGCCCCCTCTTTCCTTCTTCGTTCTCCAAAATTGACCTTAACTCGGCGGTTGTTTTGCAAGAGACGGTTATCGTTTACCCAAACCGTACCACCTGCATACCCTTCCCTTTTCTGGTTTTTTTTCTGCAAGGTTCGTGTCGCTCTTTTTATTTTAAGTTTACTCGCGTGTTGCTGTTCTTTGAAGTTTTTTTTTTTTCATGTTACCGAAATATAATTTTGTCCCTCGATTTCCCTTTGCAAATAACGCTTTCTTTTTTCTTTCAAAACAAAGCATAGTCAGTGTACGTATCTGTGTTTCTTTGCTTAATGTATTATTACATTCAATCAATTTTACCTTTGAGATCTAAACAATAGTGGAGTATTTGAAACTGTTTAAATACATTGGAAAGAAACAAATGTAATTCGTATTTTGATGTTATATAAAGTATAATACTTTTATTAATATCCCACCCCTTTCCTTTTTCAATGAATTCAATGAAGGAAAGGGTTTCATGTTCTTAATAAAACATAACTACAAACTGTCTAAAACTTATTTAACAAACATATGATTAAATCTAGCACCTACGTTTATTTAATTTCAAGAGAGTACATCGGTTTCTTAAAAAACGATCACTACGAACAAAGTGCGAATCGGAAAATCGATTGTGTCCCATATTCATCATGGTTGATAAGCGAAGTTTTGCATTACATATAAACCCGGGGGTACCGATTTACCGTTTTTACTTCCAAAGGACATTGTCATTGAATGTGAAATTATGTAAATTGCTGAAAGACGAATTACGCTGTTGAATCAATGTAAAACGTTCTTAATTCAGTTTACATTTCTTGATTTAAGTTCATTATGAAGATCGAGCAGATACAAATTACGGCGGCTCAAGTATAACATTAATACTTTTTTTAAGCAATGAAGCCAAAACGATGATTAGGGAAGGATATACACAAGAGCTGGAAGTCCTGTGATGTGTCGAACCAAATTCAAACGTATCGAAGTGGCAACTCTCAGGTAAAAATGTATTTATACTAAACCCCTAACGAGAGAAAATGTGATTGATTTTCATATGATAAAGACATAATCTTTCAATCAGTTTAATTGAGGTCTGGAGCTGGCATATCAGTAACTGCTAGTAGTCCTTTGTTAATTTATGTATCATTGTCATTTTGCTTAGTTTCTTCTGTTACCTATTCTGATATCGGACTCTGACTTCTTTTAAACCGAGTTTTACTGTGCGTATTGCTGTGTGTTTGTTTATTCTATATTGACTAGAGGTATAGGGGAGGGTTGAGATCTCACGAAACATGTTTAACCCCGCCGCATTTTTGCGCCTGTCCCAAGTCAGGAGCCTCTGGCCTTTGTTAGTCTTGTATGTTGTTTTTTTTTTATTTTAGTTCATTTATATGTTTCGGAGCTTAGTGTCACGTCCATTTTCATTGAACTAGTACACATTTTTGTTTAGGGGCCAGCTGAAGCCCGCCTCAGGGTGCGGGATTTTTCTCGCTGTGTTGAAGACCCATTGGTGGCCTAAGGCTGTTTTCTGCTCTTTGGTCGGGTTGTTGTCTCTTTGACACATTCCCCATTTCCATTCTCAATTTTATTTGAATTTAATTTTTGTTTCTGCTATATACAGTTTGCGTATTTCCAGACATTATATATCTTGATAGATTACTCTCAAGGACATGAAAATATCGATCCACTCACGGAGAAACATTATTCTGAGTCCGAGTGTATCAACTCTTGCGCTTACTCTAAAACATCGTGTGCAGCAGGAACGGATCAAATGATAAAACGAAATTAAATGCAAATGTGGAGTCTTTGAACCGATAAAATATTAGTATGCTACATTGACATTCAATTATATGATGATAAATTCGAAACTTCAATGCCATGCTTTTTTTAAATTAATCAAACTAGCAATTTTTTTTGGAGTGGAAAGGTCGTATTATTTTTTTTATATTTATAAATTTGCGGCCGTATAATGGTATGGCGATGTCATCGTCGTCCGAAGACATTTGGTTTCCAGACAATACTTAAGTATAAGTGTATGGATCTCTATCAAACTGTACCACAAGGTTCCATACTACAAAAGGAAGTTTGGGATTGATTTTTGGGGTTATTCATGTTATTGGCTTAACTGTTTAGGAATTAGGGACCAACAAGGGGCCAAAAACAAGCATGTTTCTTGTTTCAGGACAATCACTTGTGTATGAGTGTATGGATCTCCATGAAATTGTACCACAAGGTTCCATACCCAAAAAAAAAGGAAGTTTTTGATTAATTTTGGGGGTTATGGCCTTAACCGTTTAGGAATTAGGGACCACAAACAATACTTATCTAATACTGTATAAATTGCTTATTTCTTGACCAAGTTCAATGGGGTTTAATTCAAAGTCTTAATTCTTGGGGTTCTTTAAAATGCTGAATCTAAACCGTGTTATTAGATTTTTGAAGTTGAGCCCCGTTTTTAAATTGGTCAGAAATTGAGGCCCAAAGGGTCAAAAATTAATCTTTGTTTGATTTCATCAAAAATTGAATTATATGGGTTCTTTGATATGCCGAATCTAATCGTGTATTTGTATTTCTCCGCTCGCCCCGATTGTTAAGACCTGTGTGTGTGTGTGTGGTGGTGGGGGGTATCTATGTCTATTGTTTCCTCCCACGTCCCAACTCCCAATGAATGAAAATGACCCTACAGTAGTTGATTTTTAATTTTAGTCATGTTTAATTATTTTGTAAATCTGTTCTTGTCTGTACCATTAGGAAGGAAAGGTTTCTTTATAAATAAGTTATCAAGATAATACTAGGCAATAAAACAACAAAACTCATAAGAGCCCAACTTGCCAAATGAGACCTTTACTATCCAAATTAATTTTATAATTTATTAAATATGTTTTTTTTTTTCTTCAGTTGGTTGATTGGGATTTGCACGGAAGCGTATTAGGGACAAAGTAAAAAAAAAAACATATATAATTGAACTTTTTTCAAGACAAAATTTTGAAAATTGAAATGTTAAAATTTCGACCTGAAGTTGTTGAAATTTTGAGAATTCAAATCTCGAAATTTTAACTTAAATTTGAAGTTTTGACTGTTGAAAAGCTTAAAATTTCGCCCTATTTTGGAACTCGATTTTTTTTTTTTTTTTCGTTACTAAAAATTTCCACTTATTTTAAACTCAAAATTTCGACTCCAATACGAAATTTCGAGCTTTTGAAATCTTAAAACTTTGACGTTTTCAAAATTTCGACCTATTTGGCACTCGAAATTTCGACTTTTCAAAATTCAAAATGTCTTCTTTTTCAAACTCAAAAATACAACTTCAATACAAAATTTCGAGTTTTAAAAATCTTAAAATTTCGACATTTTAGGAACTCAAAATTTCTACATTTTAAGAACTAAAAATTTCGACATTTTTTGAACTCAAAAATTCGACATTTTAAGAACTCAAAATTTCGACAAATGCAATTTCCTCGATAAAAAATTAATTAAATTATGCTTTATGCTTTATGAACATAATTCAGGTAAATTTCTTATTCATATATGTAGCTTCTGGTCTTCACAAATTTCCTAAATTTAACAAAGCGGCATCAGTTTGCTACCAAAATAGAACATTAAAGGGATTCAAATATTTTCTCCGGGGACCTGATCTGACCTCATCTCTTCCTTTTAGAACAAATTTAGTAAAACAATGGTGGATCATAGTGCATTTATTTCACCCATATTAATGGATAAAACCGGAGGAGCTCGAAAATCTTACCCCCTTCCCAAGAAAAAATCAAGAGTGTGATAAGTGCTCATCTTTATTACTAAATGTTAAGCTTATGTCAAAGATGATCTATTTTCTTTCATCATTTAGATATAGTGACATTAAGGTTTAAAATAAATAAAGTTAAGGGTTTTCCTTTAAAGAATTTTGATGGCCCGACGTGTTTTAACCGATCGAGACGAAATGGTATTCATTTTTTGGAATATGGCAGAAAATTAAACTTTTAAACAAATAAATTTTAGTCATGTCCCTAGTACGCTTCCGTAGATTTCCTTAACATCTAGTGGTAAATATTTCCTTAATACTCAGTTTACAAATTAGAATAAAGCTAATAGATAGTATATGCAATGTCGAGCGACATATATGACGGACCGAGATTTTGGACTGATACTCGAAAACCAATAGATAAAGGATAGAAACAATCGTTCGCCTCGCAATTTGTCTACAGCAGACATAACTGATTTTTATAGTTTGTTCTTATGTTGTACTGCTACACCACTGTTCCAGGTTAGGAGACGGTTCAA